CACCTCCTGGATGGGCTTCTGGAAGTCTCGAGGGTTGATGCAGTCGGTGGCTCCCAGCTCCTTGGCCTTGGCAAACTTGTCCTTGTTGATGTCCACGGCAATGATGCGGGAAGCTCCAGCTGCCTTGCAGCCCATGACAACAGAGAGGCCAACTCCTCCGAGGCCGAAGACGGCACAGGAGGAGCCTGGTTTTACCTGCACAGATGGGAGCCTGTGAGTCTCCAGCGGGAACAGGAGGAGGGAGAGGAGAAGGAGGAGGCAAAGGTTTCCTTTGCACAAAATTGATCAGGTTTTGAGGGCAGCCGTGGGGTGCTAAAGATTCCAACCTTAGCTGTGTTGATGGCAGCCCCATAGCCTGTGGAAAACCCACAGCCAAACAAGCAGACTTTGTCCAGAGGTGCTGCAGCATCTATCTTGGCAACGGCGTATTCTGGGACCACGGTGTATTCTGCAAAGGTGCTGATCCACAGGAAGTGGTGGATCTGCTTCCCTCTGCAAGAGAAGCGGCTGGTCTTGTCTGGCAGGAGGTTTTGTGGTTCAGAGAAACTGTGGAGGAGACACAAGTATTTGTATTTGATTGAGTGAAGCACTGATGGGGGTGTCAGATTTGTCCAAAAGTCAATCCCACGTAGACGTAGGGGAAAGCAAAATAAACTTACTGGGACTTCTGGCAGAAGTTGGATTCAGGATTCCGGCAGAAGCTGCATTCCCCACACTGAGGGATGCAAAGGGGAATCACTTTGTCTCCTGCAACAAAGTGGTTCTCCGTTAGGTGCCTTTTGCTCCGCAGTCCCTGAGGGCATTGCCTGTTGAATTACCTCTCCTGAGCTTTCTGATAGGAGAAACCTACCATGAACCCTCTGCTTTCCTTGTGAGGATGAATGCTCCAGACCTCATTCATCTCCATGGGGAACAGATTGGAAGAGTGGACATGAGAGTCCAGGGCACTGAGTCTGCACTCAGTTTTTTAACCAGTGACTCAGGAACAGGGGCAATTTCCTGATCCCTTGGCAGAGCTTTGAGGCCTGACTCCTGGGCATGTGTCTGAGTGTGTGTTGGTTACCTGGTTTCACAGAGGTCACTCCTTCTCCAATGCTTTCCACAATCCCAGCTCCTTCATGGCCAGGGATAACTGGGAATTCCACATTAGGCAAGGAACCTTTCAAAATGTGATAATCTGTGTGACAGATGCCTGTGGCCACAATCTGTTTGGAGAGGAAAGAGTAAATGGTGATTTCTAGAAATAGTCCAGCTGCTGTTTATTTCAGTTTGTGGAAGGATTTTGCACAGAACTTCTCTGGGCTCTTAATGTGATCGGTGGACACTGATCACTTGTTTGTATCCAAGCTACAGCCACAAGAAGAGCAAATCCCACAAGGGAGAAAAAATTCTTGAAATGTGTTTTTACCTTGATCCGAACTTCCCCTGCCTTTGGGGGTGCAACTTCCACCTCCTCAACAGAGAGTGGTTTGCCCAGGGCCCAGGCAACAGCAGCCCTGCACCTGATAACCTGGAAACAACCGAGAGGAATACATTGCAGGCAAAGGTTCACCTTTGACAACAGCCCAGGACAATTGCCCTTACAAGCACCAAAGCCAGAGCTGCACAACACACGTCTCTGCATAGTGCAGCACACACTTCTAGAGCTACACAACTGTCCTGTGCTGTGTTCTGAGGGTTGCTGGTTGGTTGGGATTCCGTGGGAGAGCAGAAACATTGGAGTGCTCAGCTGTAGGCAAAGCCAAACAATGTTCAGTAAACACTGGCTTTGTGTGAAGTGTGAAATACAAAATGGAGTGACTGGTTCATTTGGTGTTACGGGGTAGATGTGACAGCAACATGAGTGCTTCTGCAGCTTACAGCAAGCAAGACAGAAGTTTTGTTTTAGTGAGCTGACGGTATCAAAACAGAGATTGCAAAATAGTCCCAGCCTGGCTGGAAACTGGATAATTTCTCTCCTTGCCAAAAGGATGGTTTATGTGTGACATGGCACAAGCCCTTCCCCGATCAACTCAAAGCAGCTTGGCACCAGCAAAATGGGGCTTGCAGCTTGAAAAGGGAATTGCCATGGGCAAGGAAGAGTGCAGGAGGTGAGCGGCTGAAGAGGGCACCACTGAAGAGCTGCGTTTGCTGCCAGAGCGGGAGCACAGGGTGGGGTTGAGCAGGAGGGTGTTTTTCAGAGCAGCACAATTCCATACTTTGCCTCCTGAGCAGCTGGGCAGGACAGAGGGGGAATGCACGACCGAATGCAGCCATGGACACGTGCAGTCGCCTGCGAGCAGAGTCTGGTGAAATGCACAGGGCTTTGGGAGAGCTGGGGGAGTAAGGTCGGGGGAAAGAGGCGCGCAGAGCGGTGCGCAGGCTGAGCCTTTGGCAGCGGATTTGGCCAAGAGCAGGGCGCCTCGGAAAGGAGGACGGGCAGTGCCTTGTCCTTACTTGTCCCGCAGTGGCCATGTGGTCTGAGCAGAGCTGAGGCTGTGGCTGTGGCAGGCTGGAGGGAAGCTGCTGCCCCGGCGTGTGCAGAATGCCGCAGGCGTGGAGCGGGAGCAGTCCCGGCGCGGCCCCGTCTCTGGAGAGCGCTGGTTAATGTGTGCCGGCTGCTGGATGCTGGGCGGTGAGTGCTGCGGGGAGGAGCTGGATGGCGGCAGGGAGAGGGCTGGGAGCACAATCCTCCAGGGAGGCTTTTATCAGTGACCCTGCCCTTGGGTCATTCCCTGCCC